TGCGAACCAGAAAAAATAAGTAGAGCTACAATATGGTACCAGTCTCCTCATTGTCTTACCTTTCTCCTTTATCATGGTCTCACGTGTTTCTCTAACATGTTTTTACTCTTTGCTTCAATTCCTTTGTCTTGTAGCAGATTGTGTGTTTCTTAATCTTTGTGCGAAAGGGTTTGGCACGCCTTCTTTACATAACTCTAGTTTGCTAAATTCTTAGATTTTATCTTTAATATTTTACTGTCACCTTATTAACTCCCCTCAGAGCACTGGGCAGCTGGCAGTAGACTAGATCTCTCTTTTGAAGAGAACATTTAAAGCACTTTCATATGGATGTGTGCTGACTTTTAAGAGTCACATGGGTTCTTTCTGAGCTATACAAAACAAGCAGTCACAAAAAGGTCCAGCCAAAGAGAGTCTTTCCAACCTTGACAATGCACTTCCACGCTTCCCGAGGCTGTATTGTTAGTCCTGGCACCTCGGCTCTGACAGCGGCATGGTCCAGGAAGCTGGTATGGCGAAGTAGTCTTTCACCTCTCTTTTGGCGCTTACGTCGCCTCCGTTTTGTTATCACCTGATGACTGCTTTATAGCCCGTGTGACTGGATTAGGAAGTTTGATTTCTATTTTCTGTGTGCAGATCTTTAAGTTGCAGAAGGTACCAGCTAAAGGGGTTTTTATGGGGCAGACTGGGCTGCAGCCTGGCCAAGCAAGTACGGAGCAGCTACCTGCTCCTCATGGGTCACCAGGGAGGCCCAGGGAAGCTCGGACAGGCACCACACTCATCGTACTTGTTCTGTGGATGGAGAACTTTGTTCTCCACCTCTTGATTCAGGGCTTCTTCCTTTACTTAAGTCCTCATACACATAATTAAATACTCCAGTCTTAGCTAAGCACATGAAAAATGCATGTGCACGCTCTACAAAATAATTGCACATGTAGAACAGCTAGCTGCATATATACTTAGCTGCCCGCTTCTGAAGAAAGTTGCTTGCTTTGTGCATGCAAATAAGTGTGTTGAATAGTTAGATGCCTGAATTAGAAAATAATCCACTCATTAAAGTGCAGTTATTCACTGACTGCTAACTCTGTAACTTAGCAGCATGGCGTTCCACGTTTGTTATCGGTTTGTGACTTTTGGATCTAGTTTCTTGGTTTACAAGATAAACCGAATATTTTTTCTGACTGCCAGCCCGCGCTGCTCCACATAGATCTAAGGTTCCTGAGGAGAAGCAGCCAATTTCACTCACAATATTTTCTTTAAAAATACCAAGGAAAAATGAAATAATTAATATCCTGTTATACTTAAGTTTTTTTTAAATCAAAGCTGCTTCTGCACAAGATTCTTTCTGGTTTTCCCCTTGTGAAGGACACAGCATGAAACAAAGTTATGCAAAGCAGTCTTAAAAATTCTTCTTATATACAAATGAAAGCTTGCTAAAGTTTAGTCTGCAGTCAGTTAAATCACTGAGAACACAAAATCCAATATTGAGCTCCTAATGTGCTTTAAATTATGCAACATGCAATTAAGTCAAGATGGTTCCAAATTGGACCTTCCAGTCCAAACTCCTGTTGTATTTGGAAAAAAAAAAAAAAAAAAAAAGGAATGCTAAGAATTTGTGCCTCTAAATGCCTGTTCTCCCTGGCCTGAATTTCAAGTTGAACGTAAAGAAAGAGGATCTCCTCAAACATGTCAGTCTCTGAAGAAGAGCTGTTACGTGGTGACTTTGGCCCCAAGCCATGCAAGAATAGCTTTCAGGTCTTGCATGTCCTACCACATGATCTTGAACTTGGTCTTTACCTAGCCTAACTGCCAACCTGCTTAAAATGCTGTCTGCCCAGTCAGGCTTCTTAAGACACGCTTTGTTAAATGTAGCTTAAGTTGCACAAGGATTTTTATTTTTTTTTTTTTTTTGTAGATAAATAAATGGGAGTAAATGTACTTGCCCTAATTGTTCGGTCATTTTTAATGCAACTCATGAACAGAGTTGCTGATATATTAAGGACTGACTTTTGCTTATGCTAAGGTTGTTTTCCGTTTGTTTGGTCCTACAAAGGAAATAAATTATGTCTGCTTTCACTGTAAGGATGCTTTACATAATCAGCATCATTAGTGTAATAATCAGTCCCATAAAAATTTGCAGAAGCAGGATTGTAGTTTGAATACATTCTCATCTACATGCAACAGTCAAACCGGCATGTGTGTTTTTTGCTTAATTTGCATGTGCAGACACCTGTTTGTGAGAGCTTGTATTTGCAAGAGTTTCTTAATTCTGCGATGCCTGTGCTCTAGTTCATGACCCACCAACAGATTTACAGGAGTTCCTCAAAGAGTCACAGGCCGGACTTTACCCCCTTCTCCTTGCCCCCATCTGCTTTACCAGGAATCTCTGCTATCTTTTGGAGAATTAATTTTTTCAGTATCCTTTTCCATCAAAGCTTTTGCCACAGAGAAGCTGCATAAGAAATGTCTATGAACCAGTCTCTCTGTTAGGATTTGATCCCAACTCTGGAAAAGCTGGGAAGGTTTGTCTCGTTAACAGTGTGCACATACTTGAATAACAGGTTATTCCTTTGCACGTCTTTGTTTTTGACACTTAGATGATTGAGGGTTTACATTTTAAATACCACATTCAAAGAGGCAAAGCCTGGGTTTTCTCCCTAAAGGGTAAAAGGGATTGGTAACTGTAAAGAGCTTTTGAAGAAGCATAAGGTTTGTGCCCTTTACCCTGGCTCCATGGACTCGGTTCCACTTTTATTTTTACTGGGAGAACTGGAAGCTGTAACACTGCAACATCACCACAAATACATGAGAGTGAGGAAAACAAGATACAAGTGCCAAAGCCCATAAAGAGTTTGGTGGCTGGATCAGGGAGTGATATTTTTGATGCTCAATATTTGTACAGCTGCCTGCTTAGCAGTGAGAATGTGTAGCAAGCATGACACCGGTTAAACAGAAGAGAGCTAATGTATTCGTAATGCTGACATTTAATGCTCCTGTATTTCTAACCGCTCCTTTCACAGGAATGTAGGATCCTGAAGAATTTTTCCTCCTTGAGGGCCATCATTTCAGCACTGCAGTCCAACTCTATCTATCGGCTAAAGAAGACCTGGGCGTGTGTTACAAAGTAAGCCTCCCCCTCCGCTCCTATGGCTAACCCCAAACAAAGGCAAAAAGTTCAGTGCGTTTTCTTTTCATCTTCTTCTTCTCGGTCTTCCTATTCTGCTCCTTCACGGACATCTCTTCTCTTAAAAGAACCTCTCGTTCCTCTGAGGGTCAGACCCCTTTTTTGAGTCTGACTGCTGTGAGCTCCTCTTTCCTATTGAGGGGACAACCTACCCTCAGAGATGCTGGGTCTCTTCTGTCCTTTATAGCATATTGGATCTTCTGCAACCTATTTTGAAAAACTATGAGACTAGGTACTCCACTAGCTCATGCACACCGTGCTTGGAAGGTCAGCAAAAGGGCACGATGACACTTACCTGTTGTCTTCTCTCCCATGAAGTTGGAGGAGGTCCAGGTTGCTACAAACCCTCACTAAGCCACTCCTGGTCCTGACATTCCCTTAAAATATATCCCCAAACTGCAAAATCCAAATCTGTATTGAAAACAATATTTCTTACAGGGGAATACCTTTTTGTGCAACTTCATGCCAAACAGACACCAGAAATCTCCGTGTAGGAAAGATGGTGTTCTGCTAGTTGAGTTTGGGAAGAACAGATTTCTTGCCTTTACCTTTGACAAACAAATTAAAATGTCACTCTGCCACGCAGTATACTTCTGCATTTCCCCTAGACAGAGGTGGGTCTTCCTTTCCGCTGCCTCCGGTTCCTGTTCTTGACCAAAATATTGCCATCTTGTGTTTATAGTGTTGGGTAATAGAAAGGGACTCGTGCACTTAAATGCTTCTAGCTTTCCAGAGTGCATGGAACAGGGCAAAAATGAACTACTTGGGACGCTTCTCTCAGCTATTTTTCTGTTCCTTTGTATCAATTTACTCACAACAATCTGATACCCTGCAATGTGATTGAAAAACCCTGCTCAGGGTCTGCATACCTATGGCATTTCTTTGTGGTGCTGTCAAATAAGGCCTGACTTCATTGGGGGCATCAGAAAATCCCAGGAAGGTTCCTAGTAGATGTGCAGCATCTCTTTGGATGCATTTTGGTGGTGTTATCTTTTATATGCCCAACTGCTAATGATTCATGAGAAAAAACAGTAATCTGAGCTGATTTAGAGTGCTTACTGATAACCTAAATGATTTAATCTTTTCCTGTACAGAGACATAATTCTGGTGTTCGAAGAGCTGTCTGATATCTTCTCGGAACACAACAACTATCTGACAACTAGAGAGCTGCTAATGAAGGTGAGAATTGGCTTGAGTTACACAGCTTGTGATCTCAATCAAAGCTGAGGTTAGCCCTTTTTCTAACCAGCTGCCAAAGCTCATCTCTCCCTGAAGAGCAGTGCTTCAGGGGAGAGAGGTCTCTAAGACCTGTGCTTTTGTGCTGGGATGAGAGGTGATTTGGTTGTTCCTGAAAGAACCTACGCTAGCATTAGCCTGCTGAAATCAGATACCCACATACAGCAGGCTGCAGCAGCTCAGATTCTGCGTGGATTTGTTCACGAGGCAGCGATTCAGGACCTCGTGGAGCCCCTTGAGTTGAATGTCACGCTACTGTGATAACGCCCAAGGTGATATCTAGCTCAAGAACAGCTGTGTGCACCGTTCCGTACCTGTGATAGCACTGGAGCCACAACCAGAGCGAAGAGGGGCTGTGCGGTGTAATTTTACTGAGATCAGTTACAAATTAGCACGTTGCCTTTACGCTGCTCTCTATCGAGAGATGAACCACTAGCTTGTGCACCCTCTGAGCAGACCTGGAAAGGCTCGGGTTTGCATTGATGAGTGCAGAGCAACTCCAAACCAGGTTCTCAACTGGACTGCACCGCTGTAGAGCTTTTAGGTTCGCTGGAACAATGCCGCTCAGCTTCAGCTGAGGAATTAAACCAAGATGTTTATCCGACCATCCCGTACCTTTCTTGGAACTAGAAAGCAGGGCTGGGAATTTCGAAGGAACAGGCTTCCTGCTCTGTGTGTGGCCAGATGGACAACAAAGCAGGCTCTGTCTGAAACAGTTTGACTTGTGCGCTCTCCGGGGCCAACCCCAGCAAGCTCAGGAACTTGAAAGGAGTGAGGAAGAATAGCAGGGAAAGGTGGTATTCTGTAGAAACTAAGGAATGTTTGTGGCAGTTTTTTCTGTTTACGTAAAAAAGTTTCTATAAACTGGTTAACCGGTTTACTTTTTGGCAGTTCTAGCCAGTCAATCTGGCATTTGTACCTTACCCCCGTGCCTTGGTATCTGAAACACTGTGTTTTGCTCAGGAATGATGGGTGAACACATTCAGACCTGTCAGTCTGTGTTGTTTATCATCCATTTATTGACATCTGTAGCTCAATTTTAAAGCAGGAGAGACAATAATAAGCATAGAGGGAAAAATGTGTGTTCAGAACAGCTTATTTAACTAAATATTAAAAAGACAAAACAACAACAACTCAGTCTGAGCCCAGACCTTCTGGCTCTCAGCAAATCACTCTCTCCAGCTGCTCTAAGTAGGTTTGCAAAACATTTTGAAAGCAGTGAGAGGAGAAAAATTCCACAGAATAGCTAGGACCTCTCTCCTACTTCTCATCTTGGACCGCTTTGTAACGACTGGAGGATTAACGTCCACTGAATCCTTAAAGTCTTTGTTTTCTTTCACTATAAATAGTCTCTCTAGGGAAGCCGTGTTTGACCTTGCCTATCCATCCTGCAAACTGAAGCATAGAGCAGCCAAAATGCCACATGAAACAGGTTGGCCGGCACGGGGAGGGAGCACGGTGTTCTCTCCTCGCCAAACAACGGCTCTGCTGCCAGCTGCAGTTTTAGCTTCTGCGCCTGCCCTCCAGCTGCTGTCAGAGAATCTCGAGTTTACCTTTCAGTATCTTGAAGACATTGAGACAACACTTTTTCATTTGCTCCTGGTTTTCAGCCGAGGAAGGAAATACGTTTTGAGTGATCTGTTCACTAACTGTGATTGAGAGAAGTAAAAGTTACAATGAGAGGATCTTTACCAGTGCAGGCTGTTGTTTTGCACGTCTTAAAAAGACACTGTTAATGATTCGTGCCTCATCTATCTGACCACTGGAAAAAAAACAACAGACAGTAACTCCCAGCACCCCATATGGATCCAGGGAAATAAAGGCTACAGATCTATTGTGAAATAGCTCATCCATTCACAGGAAAGTTTGAATTGTGGAGATGAAGACCTGTTACTTTCAGTTCCTGCGTGGTTTTGGATTAGTCAATAAGCCACAGAGGGTAGTTGCTGGATCTCTGTGTTGTGGCATAAGAAAAACAACAAAGCATTCCATAAGATAGAGGTGTTTACTTGTAGCAGTCCTGATTAGGAAATTAAACAGAAATCCTGAGGTCAAGAATGTCAGGATAGAGTTACAGATGCTTCCAGAGAAGCAGCTGGACACCTGAGGTATATCTAAGCTTCTCCGATTTAAACTCTCAGCAGATTTTCAACAGTACTTAGCTTTGGCCAGAGTACAGCCATTTTTGCAGAAAAACCGTGGGATTTTGTCCAAAATTCCCAAGCAGCCTACGAGTCCCAGAAAATTAGCACGTGTGTGTATACGTACATGTACCTGCACAGCAAATATTTTTGCTGGCCTAGCTTGCCTGGTTAAATGTATTTGCAATTATTTTACACAAATGTAGTTGCTGGCTTACCACTTAGCTCCTCCATTAATTGCCTTTAATTCCCTTTCAACTCACAGGAAGGAACATCCAAATTTGCGAATTTGGACAGCAGCGTGAAAGAAAATCAGAAAAGGACACAGAGGCGACTGCAACTTCAAAAAGATATGGTGTGTTTGGGGTCCTTTTCCTCCCCTTTTTGAACTGGTAACATGATTAACCCTAATTGATGAATTATATAAGAAGCAAAATCTAGAAAGGGATTTAACAAAGCGAGTGTGCAGTAGGTAATGCTCTTGAACGTGGCCTCTGTCAAGAAAAACAATCACATCTGTCAAGAAAAACCGTCACATTGGTGCTATTGATTAGCTGCTACAAAGCAAGTGAACCAAAAGGTTTAGACTAAATATGCAGTCAGAATGTTTGTCCCTGTAAATACATGCCCAAAGCTGTATTTCCCTTATGCTGTGGATCATACTAAGCAGGTAATACTGTGCCTGTGTATATATAATGTGCATATATATGTAGACGATCCCACACATGTGTACATCTGTGTATATGAACAATTACAAAGTGGGATTCGTGCCACACTCAGCTCAAGCTGTAAGAGGTCTGGTTCTTAGTGCAACACAGCTGTCCTTTTACTGCAGTAACACCTGCCCTGGTACTGAAATGCTGGAGGAAATGGATATGCAAAGCATCAGCATAGGCAGTGCGTTCAGCGATCGGATGCTGGGAACGCTCAAAGATTTCAGGATTCGGTGGACGTTATGTTCCCTGGCCCCAATCTTCCCCTGGCCCCTGCAAGGGGATAACTGGGTGTGTAGGCTTGCTGATCCCGTTCCCACTTGCATTTGCTTCGCATCCCAACCCGTTGTTCGGGATGGACGCTGAGCCAAGGGTTTGGCCTTAGTTTCGGGTCTTCCAGAAATTTACTAAACCTGTCATATAAAAGGGTAATAAATGATTGATGAATATAAACATGTGTTCATCATTTTCAACTGTCTTCATTCTGTCCTACGAGAAAGAATTCCATTAACTATTCTTCTTAACCTTTAGAGAGAAATACGGGGAAGGCCACGCAATTTTCGTGTAGTAAAATACATACTGTAAATATTGGAATTCTTGTGATAAAGAAAATTAGCTCTGGCCAGAGCAGAAATCTCATTTACTTTCAAACAAGCTCATGAAGCTTCTGACATACCAGCTTGAAAATTGCACAGACCTATAGAGATTGCTTTGTAAAACGTGTCCAGTTTCCAGTCTGCTGGTGAAAATGGCTTTTGTCTCAGAGTTGGCAGAGATTTAAAAGGACAGGGGGAGATAAATCTGGGATAGGGAGGCAAAAGTACTGAATATGATTTTTTGTTTGTCTGTCTGTTTGACGGGAAAAAATACAGATCCGTTTGGATGGTAGAAACAAGCATTTCCTTCACGAGTGTAGAAACAGCCTGAACTCTACAACTGCTAACAGTCTAGAAAGTTTAAAATGTGAATAATTACTATTAAAATGTAGCAAACGGCTGGGGAAGATGGTCACTTCTTGGAGGAAAAAAACTTGTGACGTGATTTAGACTTGACTCTCACATGGTATAACATCACCATTAAGTAAAAATCCAGTGGAATGAAGCAGAGAGAGAAACTGCTTACATAGACTAGCCAGGCCCACTCCAGGTAACTGAGGGACCCTGGCCCTGGTGCTCAATGCTTCTTCCACGAGCAGAATTTCCTGGTGACCCACTGTTAGAAATCAGTGTATGGCGGCAATGTTGTAATATAAAACCGCTCGGCAAGATCTGTGAGAGCATCCCGCTCTCGTTAGAATTTTATTTAAATTCTAGATTAGATACTGAGAATGATGTAATGAAAGAAAACGTAATTTATAAGACCACTGTTTGGTTAAGCAGACTATTATTTCATTTTCTTATATGGGAGTATTCTAGCATTCTAATTATTACCATTTCCCAGTCAATTAATCCAACGTTGCTCTGATCATTTGCAGGGACTAATGCAAGGCACGGTACCTTATCTTGGTACCTTCCTCACCGATCTCATCATGCTTGACACAGCCCTTCAGGACTATGTCGAGGTAATATGGGGCAATTTTTTGAACCCTAAATATCTTCCCTGCTTTCCCGGCACTGAATGTGTCTGTTCCTGTATCTTCTACTAGGTTCTTGTGCAGCTCTTAAAAATGGAGGAATCCGTTTTCCAAAAAAAAGGAAGCAATATGCAGTTTTATTAGCAACAACGATCTTGTGTGAAGTTGAATGTAGTTGTGTCAAGGGACAAGCTTAGTATTGTGTTTTGTCTTGTTTCCCTAGGTTAGAAAATGTGAAGGCAGTAAGCTTTGCATTATTCTGTTTTATTTTTCTGAAAAGAACATTTCAGGTGTAAAGATTTCTGTGAATAATTTGTAAAATACACAGAATCACGAATTCAGCTCTTCAGACCGATCGCTGAAATGCTTGCTTCGGTATTGACTCTGATACATCTGAGCCCTAAAGTAATTAGACTTGGGGTTTTAATTTCTCTTTAGCTGAAGAAGCAAGGGGAACCAATCTAGCACAGGAAGGGAAAAGAATTGCAAGAGAGTCTGGTCATTTAACTGAGACTGAGGATGGGGCCAGTTTTCAAAGGTGTTTGCTGTAAAGGTTTTCCGAACACCTTTGACAGTTGGCCCCGTTAATGGAGACACTCGAGGAGCCATGCTGCACACGCTCAGCCTTCCTTGTGCTGGTATTGATATTTATGATAAGAATGGGCAAATACGCTTCTCCCTGGGCTGGTAATGGTTGCTGCTTTGTTTGGTGGGTGATGGTTTTGCAAAACTGCAGTAAAGCAGGCCTGTGTAAGGTTGCTACATATCCATTTTCTTTTTGGCAGTTTCCCTTCGGTCCATGCTTTGTGTTCAGTTGGTGTCTCTGAAACTCACTGGGAACACCGCTAAACTCAGAGCAGAGGCAAAATCCAAGTTTTTCTTGCATGCAAAATCCTGCTAGCATTCTTCAGACCTGATCTCGACACAGCTTTTATGAGCATTCTTGTATTGGGCTTTTCTTCTTGGGCAGATTGCCGCCTAGGCCATGAGGACAGATACCCTTTGGAGACTTGGATATATGAGTGCTGTGGTTTATACCAGATCTGGAAATGTATTTTTAAAAGGTCCTCGCTCAGGGCAGGTCTGCGCCTTACATTAGCCTTGCTACTTCATCCTGTTTGTGATTAAATTCAACTGAGCATGTGCTTTTCTCCTCTGATGCCTTCTCTTTCCTTCCAACAGGGTGGCCTGATCAATTTTGAGAAGAGGCGAAAGGTAAGTTGAATGTTCTGTGACTTTTAGTTTACTGACGCCCTCTTCTAGACTGTTCTCTTGGCAAGGCCATTTGTCTTAGCTCAGGCGTGTACAACAGCCACTAATTTTAATGCAAGTTGGTGAGGAAAGAATAGATCCCTGAAACGCTGTGAGCCTCTGCTGAACTGTGAGGGGTGGCGCGGGAAGAGAACCTGCTTTTCAGATGTGTGCAATAGGGGAAGAGGAGCTGCGGGCCGCTTGCTTCCATGGGATTGTCATCTGGGGCATGCACACTCCCTCCATTTGATGTTCGTGGGAATACCTTACGTGTGTATGTTCTATGTGTTGCATCAGACCTGGTGGCATGAGACTTTTGCTTTCCAGAAAATAAGAGTTTGTAAATGTCTTCCTTCTGCTGCAGTAAACTATTTGTAGGCCAAAGGCTGCAGAGAGCAAACTAGGTACATGGGACTGAAAAATAAATGCTATTGTTCTTTCCTTTCGGCCTGATCCTTGTTGGTCAGAGATAAGTAATGCTATGTAGGAGTAAAGGTACTAGGGTTACGTCTGTCTGAATGAAGTCGTGCCAAATCTCCATGCATTTGGCTGTGATGGAGCCATTTCCTTTCCTTAACTGTTCCCAGCTCTACAAACCACTGCTTGGACTTGCTTTCTATGTACGACTGCATGGCTCAGGATACTAATAATGCGATACACGAGCTTCTCCGTGGGCAGCCGCCCAGCTTCGTACAAACCAGTGGCAAAGCTGCCCTCTGAGCCATGCCGAGTACTCGGCTCCATTCCTGCATCCCGATTCTATAACCTGCTGTAACACAAGGGGGTGTCAAGAATTATTCTGGCAAAGCATATATGCAAGTGGAGTTACGGAAGAGCAGCATGTTCTAGTCACACGTATGAAGGGTGGCATTTTATGTTCCTCTGGTGCGAGTGCACGACGTGCAAATCTGGCTTTGCCACCAGCATTACGCTTCAGTTAGTACTTAGGAAAAGCTCTGTGATGTAGTATGATACCTTGTGTTTGTCTTCTAATTTGTGCATGTCTGATAAAATGTTCACATTTCAATGTACCTTATGGATGCTGAGGAAAACAAACCAAAACAAAAACCATTTTATTGGTTGAAAAACTGGTTCTTATAGTCACTCAACTGAAACTGAGCTTCAGGTCAAACCAAGTTTGTCCTGAGTCTGTTTTTGCATGTATTTAGTATATGAATGAGTTTGGCTTTATCTTTTTTTCTAATTAGAATTCCTATTTCATTATTTATTTTCTTAGGAATTTGAAGTAATTGCCCAAATCAAGCTCTTGCAATCTGCGTGCAACAGCTATTGCATGACACCAGACCAAACATTCATCGACTGGTTCAAGGGACAGCAGCATTTAACTGAGCAGGAGTGGTAAGTTCTCAGTCCAGCTGGTGAAGCAGGCTTTCCTTACCCTACACCCACCTTGCAGGTAGGTTATGTCAGCCTTCAGCTATCCTCTTCCAGGAACCTGCACAGACTGCTGCTCGAGGAGAGCAGAAATACCCCTGCCTTCTGCTAAACAGCTGCTGAAAAGCTGTTGAACACGTAGCAGGGTTTAGTTTCGAGGCTGGAAATCTCAAAACTGATTGGAAATCAGGCTTCTGACTTGGAAATATGAGAGTCTGTTGTGTCTGGGCTGTCTGCATGCCCAGGCACAGGCTCAGAAGTCAGTCCTAAGGGACGGGCTGATGCAGTCGCTGAGCGTTCAGCTGGTGGATGCGGGCAGCAAGTAGCCACAGCATCGCTGAGCTTGCCCAGCGCTCACCAGATAAACATCTCCTGGCCATTTGGGGTGGGTTTTGCAGCCCTGCTGAGTTCGGTGCTACTGCACATGCTGCTAGACCAACCCAAGGCAATTTATTTAAAGGATTTTAATATCTCCACTAAATATTTGAATACTACTCTGCTGCACTGTTGAAGAGTGTAAGCACAGATACATGCTGCATTGTAATGAGTAGTAGTAAAAAAGTCAGTTTATGCAAGGTTCATGTGTTAAGTATTTTCTGGATTTTTTTTTTTTTTTTAAATAAAATGATGAATGTCATGCACAAAAGCACTAGTTTTTAAAGCTATTATAAAGAAGTGAAATATCCCCTTCACCATGGTAAAATGTGGACAGAGCTATGTTCCTCTTTGTGGGTTTGCACCCTTCTGTGAAGTGCAAATAACTGAAGGTTTCTTGAATTTCTCAAACATTGCTTCTTTGAGATATATAACTAATAGTATCAGCTGTAAAAATTAACCCCGTGGCCTCTCTTCTGCAGTTTCAGCCTTTCATGTGAGGTTGAAGCAGCTGCTGACATTAACACCACATCGCCGAAATCTCGGAAAAGCATGGTGAAGAGATTCAGCCTGTGAGTACAATGGGGCAAGGGGCGTTTGGTGTGTTAATATGAACTGGAGTAAATCAAACCAGCGGTACTCATTTCGCCAGCTGAAAAACCTGGCTGGGGATCCAGACCACTGCATTACTTTAAGGAGACAGCATCAGCTAGAAATGTGTACTTCTGTCTGAAGCTCTCCCTTTCTATTGTTATAAGTAGTCACGAGGATTATTAATGATGAGAAAGATTAGAAACAATCAAGCCTTCCTAAGGTGTCAGAAAAAGGAACAACTTTAGTGCTGGATTATAAATTCAATATCTATTGTGTAATAACTTCCCTGAATGCAGGAGCAAAATAGAGTAAACCAGGATAAAGTCTGGCCTATTATTAGTCTAATTTGCTATACACACGCAAAAATTCCTTGCAGGATTTTAATAACAAAGATTAAGGTTAGCAAAAAGGCATTTGATAATAGAAACAATCTGCCTAACTGCCTTCAAGTTAGAGAAGGAAAAAAAAATCATGGGGACATGGTCCAATTTAGTCTAATAGCACAGATTCAAACAGGAGGTGGGTGGAGAACGAGGGCCTGCAGCTAAGCAGGCACGGGAAACAATAGACTAGCAGGAACTCGGGGAAAGCTGCAGGGAATGAAAGCAGGGATCAACGGCCAAAGTAAAAAATATCTTAAAGGTGAGAAATTTGAACCTGATGCGAGAGGAGATATGAAGGGACTCCCACATACCAGTGGCATGAGCAAGATGAGGGGGGAAATGATTAATTTAACAGCACTATCAGCTCTTAACTGTCCTTTCCTGCTTGGTTCTTGTACCCAGTTTCCTCAGAACAGCCCGTAGCCGTTCACTTCACGTCAGTGCTACTACAGGTTAGGGTCTGAAAGAAGAATAGATGTTTTCAATTCTAGAGTTTTGAGTTCTGATATGCAAAAAAAAATCCAGGCAGCTGTTTGGGAAGTGTCTCAGTTAGTCCATCCAAGTCGGTGGTGATATGTTAAGAGAACGTGAGCTTTGAAGGTGACAGTGCCCGAACACACCCGGTGGCCTCTCATTTGCATCTCCCTTGGTGCGTGCCTAAGCTGTGCGTTAAGAATTGTTGCTGTGGAGCCCAGGTTTTATTCTCTCATTTCTGACTGTGTTTCAGTGCTGTAGTATTGTCATTTACTGTATGGCGCTTGTTTGCACTGTGCAGAGGAATTGTTTCATCTGCACTCTGAATGTATTTTGTAAATTAATACTGTAGAAAAGACTGGCACAATGTCTCCTGGCAACAGTGAGTGACACCTCTCTAAATTGTTTTAAATCATTAACTGCACGCTGACGTAGCATGCAACCCACCCTGCTTCTCCACTTTGTATAAAGTTTGTTTCCTTTGACACTCCTTTAAATTTACTTGACCTGCATTTAGAAATGAGTCTTGGAGAGGGAGAGCCTATAATTTACACTTTCTCGTGACCTCCTCATTGGGCACGTCTCCATCCAAACTCTTAGAGAGAAACTGGTATTTGTGGCACCTTTACTGAGTGAAAGAATTTGCAGCGGGGACAAATTTGCCTTTTGAAGACCTTTGCCCGGTGTACAGCCATGCATTACCTTTCACAAACCGTTTCACTTGCTCACGGCGACCGAGTAGGTCTTGAGCTGCCTCATGTCGGAGCGTCCAGGGTGCGACAGCAGCGAGCAGGGGCGCGTAAAGTGGAGCCAGCTGCCATGCCTCTACCTTGCCCCTCGCCCCTTGGTTTGTAAACACATCAGGTTTATGATCAGTCGTTTCCCAGCAAGCAAGTCTGAAAATGTAACAGCCCAAAGAGGAGTCTGGTGTGTGATACTTGGGCATTAGCTCTGATTTTGGCCTTGCAGCTGGTGGGTACGCTTGTTCGAGAAGGTATTGTGTTGGTGCGTAACAAACGCTCTTGACAAACCGTACGAACAACGTAGAGGAAATGAAAACAATAGGCCACTCAAGATAGGAAAACAAAACAATACGTAAGATTTTTTGAACCAAGTGACAGCTTTGCTCAGCCCAGCTTTGTTCTGCTTTCACTTAACTGGCTTTTATGTTTTCTTTTCTGTACTAGACTGTTTCTAGGCTCCGAGGTGCTCGCCCATAGCACACCCATCAAAAAGCAACCCAAACCTACTGCAGGTGGGAGCTCTGGTGAAAGCACGGACTCAGCCAGCGTTTCGTCATGCGAGTTGAATCACTGTGAATTGGAAGACATCTACATGACTTCCATAGGCCCTCTCTATGGATCTCAGAAAAAGGTACGATCCGGGCCTTGTTGCCAGCACGAATAGCCTGTGAGGGACTGCCGACACTGCAGACAGGCCCTAGGCGCTTGCCCAAGCCTCTTGGTCTTGACTAGAGCGTTGCTTGTAGTGAAACGGAGAGACTCTAGAAATAAATGTGTAAAAATGGAAGCAATCCAGTCAGGATTTTTGCACAATCCCTTCAGTGTTGCCAAGATACAAGGCAGAGTGAAGTTCTCCTTCCCTGAAACAAGATTTTTCTGGTAATGCCTGGCAGTGTTTTCAGTTTAGGTGAGGCCCTGGAGAAGCACGAGGTTAATTTTTATTTTTTTTTCAGTCCCTCATTGTGCTTTTTGAGGGACGGGGCAGGCTAGCAGCATTTCTACCTTCCAGCTTATATGAAGTGGAGTGAGGAGCCTGAGCATCACGCTTGCTCATGGCACGTGGCGGCATGACATCAGCAGTGATGCAGGCAAGAGGACCTTGCCTTCGCTTGGTTTAATTCCAAGGGGGAGAAGCGCAGAGCTGCCGCACCTCCTCCTGCACGCTAGCTCGCTCTTGGCACGCATAGCTGGTGCCTTACACAAAAAGGCACTGAAACAGCGTGCCAGGAATCCCTCGTTTCGCCGAGAAGGCAAAGCCCTACGCCCCGCACACCAGCAGCTGGGACAGCCCACGGCAAAACGAGCGTAAGGCTGACGCCGTGACCGTTTGTGCCCAGAGCAGATGGGCCGGGCGTGCGCTGGTACCAGCCAGAGACAAACTACGCAGGCAGGAAACCAGCAGAAAGGATCTGGCAGGGGGATCCACAGGAATATCTTTCCTACAGACCCTTCCCTTTTGAACTAAATTGCGTTAACTGTTTTGCTGAAGCCCTTTTCAGGGATATTTTTCTGAAGAGTGTCATGCTGGGGTGTAGCTTAAGGATACTTTAAATTAAATTGTGCTAAATGTTCTTAGGCCAAATGAAGCACGAGGTCTCAGATGCTGGCATCCGTAAATTGTTTAAACTGTTTCGCTGGAGCAGTTGTTACGGTGGTTTTGATAAGCAAGTTGGGGAGAGAAGATCCTCTCAGCAGTTTTTGAGCAAGGCAGATGACGAGGAAAGCAAAACCCCTGAGCAGCAGGGGAAGGAAGGGGGCAGTTGCCAACGAGGAAAGACTATTCAAGGAGAAGCGGCAGATAGGGAGGTGTGTGTGCGGGCTCTCGTGTAAAGGCTCGGACCCCAGGCAGGAGCAGGGATGCCTGCCATGCCCTCTGCTCTTTCCCAGCCTGTCCCAGCCCCTGGCTGGTTGCCCACAACCTGATCCTGTTCCTTGCATTTGCTGCCATCTCCCGGCCTCCTCGAACTGAGAGGCAGGAGCAAGCGGCGCTCGGGGTCGTTAAAATGGTGGAATTAATCAAGTGAAATTCACTTTTTCTTGGAGGCAAGGAACGCCACTGCTGGACAGAGTGCAGATTTTGTACATGCCTTCTGTCTTCTCGAGTTCTTCCTCCAGAATGACAGAGGCCAACATACAAAATGTCCAGTTTATGACAGTGGTTTGCTTTCTTTCTGTTGTGCAGCTCTCTGAATCCTCCTCCTCCACCCAAGTCACGAACATATCTTCCTCGGGAGTGTCATTTTCCAACCCACCCCCTCCTGTGCTGGCCTCCAACAACAACAAGAAGTGTGCTGTCTCTGTGACACCCACTACCTCAAAAGTACTGCCTCCTATTTACAATCAGCAGAACGAAGATATGTGCATCATCCGAACGAGCCTAGAAGACGACAACAGCAATATGTACAAGAGCATTGTGGTGAGTGGTGCGGAACAGCGAAATGCTGTTATTGTTGGTGATGTTTTCATCCAGGGTGACTTCAACAAATGGCACTTTTAGTTTTGAAAACACCTATTCACTCATCCGGCTAATGAAACCTGGCTTGGAAGGGGAAACAACAAATGTTACAATTCAGAATAGGTAGAGCATGGTATGAATGAGCGGTTTGAAAATAGCATCTTGCTGGAAGTTTCTGGTCTTGAAATTAAAACTCATATTTTATCAAGAAGTTTATCAAAAAGTGAAGTCTTCTGATCAAATGCAAGCTCCTGCCCTTGTGCTAGCGCTAGCTGCTTTTTCTCTAGCTCAGAAGTTGTGTGCGAGTTTTGACACAAGATGCCATGCGCGAAGTTGTGCCTGGAGCAACTTTGCCCAGGAGCTGTTTCTGGGAACAGGGAGCTGTACGCGAGGAAGCTGCCAAGCCCTTTAATTACGCAGCTTCTCTCTGCGGAGAAGGATGCCAGACCAGCAGCAACCAGCGTTCAGGTGTTTCCCTCGACGCTGGTTCCACGGAGGGATTCTGGCAGTGGACGATGTGACTGCAGATACCTGACACAGACTCAGCTGCTGAGCAAACACTTGGGGTCTCTTGGGACCTGGGGGGGGAACAAACACACAAGGGGGGGGGTAGTTCTTAGCACGTTTAGCCACCTTCTGATTTTAACGGTCTGACCTCCCCAAATCGTAAAGGGCCGTTCCCTAAGGGCCTGACAAATTCGGCTACTGGTGAGACAAACCTGCCTTTTGACTGCGTAAGGCTCTGGAGGGAGCCCTGTGTCTGCTCCGGATGCGCAGCACTTCCACAGCAGACAGTAAACCCAGTTACAAGGCCAAAAATCTTTGCGGGATGTCAAAGAAAGTATTTAGCACAGGAGACTGCAGATTAATTGATGTCTGCAAACAACAGATGGGGCAGCTATTTACGTGGACTTTTACAGCTAGGGAGAACAATGCCTCATCTCTCTCTAAGTGTTTGCTCAGGAGAGCAGACACTGTGATTTACTGCTGTCTCTTCGAGTACGGTGTCTGTCATCTTGAACTAAAAACCCACCACCACCACCACATGTCACAAATACCACGTTTTAGTACCTAGCAGGACCTACTACGTCGTTACCGACCCATCATATTTTTTCAGTGCTGTGAAATCTTTTCCATGGCCAAGTGGTCTGCAGAAAGGCAGGCCTTTGCTAATTATTAAATCATTATAGAGAGTGAATAAGCAGAATCTCTCACTGCAACTTTATCTTTCCAGATAACTAACCAAGACAGAACTTCTGCTGTCATCCAGAGAGCTCTGTTGAAGCACAACCTGGAATCTGACGCAGTTGAGGATTATGAGCTTGTACAGATCATCTCTGAGAACAAAGGTAGGGAAGCAGAACTCTGCTGCTGCTCGGAAAGTTCTGCTGGATTTTGAAAGAAAAGAGTAAAAAAAATTGTGACGCGATGTTAGAAATGCCTCACATTAGAAATGTTAGAAATGTTGTCACAGCTGCCAGCAAAAATAACCCCCCTCGATAAGGGCTGCGCAGGGATGATTGATCACGGCCTGTCAGCACGTCGGGTTATTGCAGGCAGAGCTCGCTCCTGGGTTGCCAGGTCTACCTCCGTATGTGTGCTGTGGCTGCAGAGCTATTGCCCAAGAGCAGCTGCGCTCTCTGCCGTGGCGGTGGAGTCTGGTGTCAGGGTACGACCTCCCCAGGGATCAGGGCAGGTCTGGATCCTACCACCGTGCCATCACTGGGCCCTGCGACCAGAGCTTTTGGCACAGCTGCCTTTGGAGAGTGGCTGC